AATCGAACATATTAAATCAACTGTTAAAAGCAACTGGCGGCACTGTAAAAGAACTGTCAACATTTGGTCGAATACGTTGTTTGGAAGCACTGAACATTTCGACAGTTTAAAGAATAAAGTAACCAAGCTTGACGAATACGAATATTACAACCGGAAAAGAAAATTTTTATGGTAAATATTTTAAGATTTTTATTACAGTGCAATAAATAAATTTTCTGAAAACTGGTCTAAACATGCATACTAAAGTGGTATAAATATTCTGTAGTGATGACTTGATGATCTCAAAGCAGTTATTTTAATAAAATGAAATTTCCAAAAAGCTGGTCTAAATGTGTGTAGTAAAACTGGTATAAATACGTGCACATGTATGTATATGTTTAGAAAAATTGTATGTATGTCAAGAGACGGCAATAGTCCAGAAAACTGGTCTAAATAATTATAGTAAAACTATTCTAAATGTATGTATGTATATACATGCGTGAGTATGCGTAGTAAAATTTTATAGTGATGATTTGATGATCTCAAAGAACTTCTTTCAGAAACTGCAATAGCAAACAACTGGTCTAAACGTGTACATATGTATATGCAAAGTGCATACAGGAAACCCAAAAAATTTTTCAAGAGACTGCAATAGCAAAAAAACTGGTTTAAATACGCTTAGTAAAACTGGTCTAAATATGTATGTACATATATGTTTATCTTATAGTGATGACTAGATGATTCTTAGGCATTTCTGTAAATAGACTCCGCAAGAAAACTGATCTGTATACATGTAAATACGTGCAACTGGTATAAACTAAATATGCTGGCATAAATGTAATTCTATGAATTGTAGGAGATTACTTCACTTGAAGAGTTATCGACATATTTTCTTTAATTAAACTCAATGAGATAATTTTGGCGTTGCTTTAATATGTAATTTTAACGACAAGGGAGCAGAGCTCAACCGCACCGAGCAGACAGGTGGTGAATCGAAGACGGCTCAAAAATAATTTTAGGAGTATAAAATTCCAAGATAATTTCTAATATTTTTCAATGACAAAATAACGATTATTTAAACCAATTGCATTTATTTCAAATATAAATAGCAAACGTCCGACTTTTCTATAAACACACATAGAAATGCAACGCTCAACCCAATCAAACCACATGCCGTCTTGAAAGCTTTTCTTTTAGCGCTTCCATCACAATTTGTATATCAACAAATGGTGAATTGTAAACAAAACTAAAGTTTAGCATGTTTACACAAAAGACTGAAGAAATGGAATAAGTAATATGTAAGCTAAAAACAAAATATTGCAATGCCCACTGCAAAAATAGTATAAATTCACGTGGCAAATGTACAACAACGAAAGCTTTCAATGCAACAACTGAAAAGTTTTAATTTGTGTTGGCACGTTGCGAATATAAAGTTATGAATAATAAATAAATTGCATTGCACAATAACAAAAACAATATGGTAGGTATGTGCTCTATTGATAATTAAACAAGAATAGCAAAATGTAAACAAACCGAGTATCAACGAGTGCATGGACAAGGATACATACTATACATTCATACATAAACAATATAAGTCATTTTGAAAAACGCAATGCCATTTGTGTGTACTTTCAATGTACATACTTATAAACATGCACATGTATGTATGTATGTATATTACTAATATGTAGAGTGGTGCTGATAATAGCGCCATTACTTAGTAGTGCATAAATACGACAGAGAAGTGGGAGTAGCAAATAGAGCTAAATAATGCTTGTCAAATGTCTTCAAATTACAAAAATAAAGTCATATGGGCTTGGCCTATATTTTTATACTCTCGCAACAAAGTTGCTAAGGAGAGTATTATAGTTTTGTTCACATAACGGTTATTTGTAAGTCCTAAAACTAAAAGAGTCAGATATAGGGTTATATACACCAAAATGATCAGGGTGACGAGTAGAGTTGAAATTCGGATGTCTGTCTGTCCGTCCGTCCGTGCAAGCTGTAACTTGAGTAAAAATTGAGATATCATGATGAAACTTGTCATGCGAGAGTATAAAGTGTTCGGTGACACCCGAACTTAGCATTTCCTTACTTGTTTTACTCTGGCAACGTATTGCTACAGAGTATAAGGGTTTTGTTCATTTGAATGATTGAACTAATCAAGATGGCTAACTGTTACTAGAGTGAAAGTAAGGTATGTATCTTGCTGTAATTCGGTACACGTGTTTTATAGAATAAAATAATGAAAAAACCTTAAGCAACTAGTCTCGCTAAAGTATGCAATCAAGTCCAAAAATGGTCGAAATCGGACTATAATTTTTCAAGCCCCAGATATCAGTCAACCTCAATCTGAGAGACATTCGGACATCTCTTGTTAATGCAATATGTCCGTGCGTCAAATATGGGTGAATCGGGGGTACTTCTTCTACCTCCATATTACCTGATATAAGGATTTGAAACATTTTCGGATGACTTCATATCATATATCGTTCAACCTTTGACGTTTCTTTTTCTACTAATATGTCATGATAACAAAACTGGATAAAATCTGTTCAATATTAGTCCTAGTTGCTTGATACCGTGTAGATCGGTTACTATGTAAGACATCTTAGCAAAGTTAAGTGAAGGTAAATATTTAGGGCTTATCGTGGTTAGGAAGCTTTCGTGGAAGCCATATATCGAAGAGAGAGCAAAAAGGGCATCAATTGCCCCAAACTGCTGAAGAAGAGGTATTGGCAAAAGGTGGGATCTCTCACCGAAAGTGGTGCTCTGGCTCTACGATACCAGAGTCAATCCTATTATGTTTAATGGAGTATTTTTGTGATGGGTGGCCCTAGAGAAGACCATACTTGCAAAGAAACTCGACAGCGTCCAACGGGCGGCATCCATCAGCAAGTGTGGTGCATATATACTTTAATAATAAATTTCGATAATCTAGTACACTTAATTCCGAATATGTGCGTCAGTGTGTCAGTTTCCTTCATAATGGAATATACAGCCTGTCCAAACCTTTCCTTACGCCAGAATAAAGCTGACGTACTGACTTCCGACTTTCTACCTTACTTTAAACCATTGTGCTGGTCAAAATTTGTGATATTTTACTGAAAAAAGTGGATATTTTTTTAAAATATTTTGAGTTTAGGCCAATAACTCATAACTTTAATATAATGACTGGAGGGAAATTAATCATCGGAAAATTTTAATCTAAAGAATCCTTGGAAGGTTTTATTTATTATATTATGTATTTTAATTTATCATGAAGCTTCGGCCCACTATATTCAGAATTATTTTGGAGTTTAGCATAACAAAGAAGGAGATACTTTTAGCTGTGAATGCCATATCCCATAATTGTTTGATATTATATTTTGTAGACTTCTTGAAAGCACGTTCAAACTTTGTATGTGATTTTTCATAAAATAAAATTTTTTTTTAACAAAGAACCTGAATCACTGTCAAAAATACAGAATTACTTCGAGAGTTTTTAAAACAGAGGAAATATGCCTTATATAGTTTGGATTTACTTGAATATGGCGTATTCTAAGACCTTTAAAAAATTTGGGTTTGGAAAGTGTTATTTCGACTCAAGGCCATGGTTCCCAAATTTCGTGCGTGCTGGAAACGTTCTATATTAAGCCTTACATCTCTGAGATGTTTTCCTGCACAGTACCACTAAAAATAAGGAGTCAGATCATTATATAGCGACTTTGCTGAAATATTTTTAAAAGACCCAGTTTAGAGAACAATAGTTTTCGGTTGAATATTGAAATCAATTATCACTTGTTTATAAGTGATACTTATCTGGAGTACCACACATATTATCCACAGCTACATAGTCAAGGCATTGATCAATGAGGTCAGAACCAAGGTTCACATTACCACCCTTGCTTATTTTAAGGTAATGTCGAAGAGATCAACTAAATTTCTTTTTAAGTTAAAAAAGTATTTCCTCAGGTAATAATTTCATAACTTAAGGAAGATAGTGTCTCTGATTGATTAAGATCCTGGTTTGACTTATGTTAGACCATAAAGACGAACCATGTGTTCCCAGAGCCAACAATGTAGAAATCAGTTACAGTGAGTACATATAGTTTTGATTATAATAATTTTGAAAATACTTGAGTGATATGTGGAACCGGAATTCATAAAGTGCCCAAGGATCCTGCTCGAGGACAACAGTGATTAATTATTATCATAATGACAAACGCCTTTAAAGCTTTCTTCAACGTTATCTTATGGGGAAACGAAAAAATGGCAAATGCAGTTAGCTCAAGTAAAGCATATTTAAGCCGCATACTTACATACAATTCTGTATACATACATACATATATATGTACAATGTAGAAAGGTGATAAAAATGTAAACAAACATTGACTGCGACACTTCAAGTGTGAATGCACACAAACTTAAGTGCTCATATACACAAATACTTATATACGAGTATGTAGTACTCGCACACACTCGAACAACAAAATTGAGTATAATAAAAAATGCATTCTTACGGGCATGACAATTAAAATTTGCAATGGTTTCACTGTAGGTTAGGTTTGTTGTCATTAGCGTATGCGTAAGGCGCTGCCTGGGAGGGAGTGGCGTGCATAAATATATCTATATAGTAGATATGTACATATGTAACGTAGGTGGTCGCTAATTGCGGAAGCACACCGTCAATGGCGCACTGAAATTCCGGAAGACCTTTGCCGAAGCATGATTAAGCGTAAGTAAGTTGGAGTCATAAATAATAATTTCAGTAAACAAGGAGTTTGTATTTCAATTATCGATTTGTGCAAAGTAAATATATTTAATTTTTTAACGACCACTTACCTCTGGCTTTGATGGACATAACCATGTATAGCTGGAGTTGGTGCCGATGATTCGAGAATGATGGAATACTGACTTTAACACTTATGGAATATGATTGCTTTGTACTATAGATTTGAACACACATTTCGTTGGACCTGAGATTCTTAGCCGAAATTAAGTTTAACTTAAAAATGGATTCATTTGGAACTTTTTAAATATTTAACAACTTCAACACACTAAAGACATGACTGGCATGTATGACATGAGATCTGAAATGAAAGAAAATAAATAAAAATAATTAAGTTAATAAAAAATTATAATTAATAAAAGAAAAAAATATAATGAAAAAATGTGTTAATAGTGGTTGCGCTGCTATAATACACTTCACAGTTGCAATCGTAGTACATAGCATAAGAAGGCATAAAAAGCTCTTAATCTTGATTTAAATGGGCCAATTTGTATGGCAGCTATTTGATATAGTAATCTCAACAATTTGTTTTGAGATCTCAGTCCTGCCTTGCATATTAATATACATATATCAAATTTCATGAAGATATCTTATTAAATGTTTTCCATACAAGGACTTCACTTTGATCGGTCATTTTGTATGACAGACATACGCTATAATGATCAGATCGGAACAATATGTTCGGAGCTTGTAGCATTGCCTTGATTAATAATCCATACCAAATTTCATGCAAATCTCTTGCAAATAAAAAAAAATGCACACAAAGTCTTGATCGAGAGAAATTGACGTACGCAATAGGTCAATATCATTAAAACTGGTAGACTTCTTCTTTATTGGAGTAGACACCGCTTACGTGGTTATAGCCGAGTTTAGAACAGCGTTCCCGTCGTTTTTCCCTTTCACTATTTGGCGCCAATTGGATTTTTCAAGTGTAGCCAGGCCCTTCTCCACCTGCGTCTTCCTCTATATCTGCTTTCCACCGCGGGTACCGCGTCCAAAACTCTCAGACCTGCAGTGTTTTCATACATTCGGTCGACAGGACTTAACCAGCGTAGCCGCTGTTCATTTGCTGATCTATGCCAATGTCGTCGTATATCTTGTACAGCTTATCACTCCATCGACTGCGGCATTCGACTGCGACGTTGCCCAATACACAAAGTACCATAAATCTTCCCCAGAACCTTTCTCGCGAAAACTCATAGCGTCGACTCATCAGAGGTTGTTGTTATCGTCTATGCGTCTGCATGGACGTGGCTGAAGAGTGACTTATAGAATTTGGCCTTGGTTCGTCGAGAGAGGGCCTTTACGTCACAATTGCTTACTCAGTCCGAAGTAGCACCTGTTGGCATGAGTTATTCTGCGTAGGATTTCGAGGCTGACGTTGTTGTGGTGGTTACTTCTGCACGGTTGAGCAATGGAACGTCTGTTTCATCATCATCGATTGGGGAATCGGGTTCACCATTTTCAAGTGTTATGTTTGCACTGCCATTAAGCAGACTGGCTAAGGGTTCCAACCTCTCGGGGTTCTACAAGAGTTTTGGTTACATAGACCCGACTAATTCGGGATGAAAAAAGTCTCAGTCTTTGCTAGTTTATTCAGTTCAATTATAGCATCACTATAGCGGTATATCTGAAAATGCCGAAAATACCACTCCCTTGCTTCTCAGAGTCGATAATGGCGCATTCCTTTGATTTACATATGTATGCATAGAGGGAGCATGAAAAGGACTAATGCTCGTAAGCTTGTTTCAGACCGAGTTTTTTTTCGTAATGTGACTTTTTGATAGGACGATGGCGAAAACGGTGTGACAGAACACTTCAAAGTCTAAATGATTACTATATGAGGCATTATTCCTCTTGATTTGTTTAAATGTAGGGAATGCTACTACTGGGTAGGAAACTCAGATACATATAAGGGGTCCTTTGATAAACAAAAAGAACATACTGTAAGTTTTGAAAATTGGAAAGAAATGATACGGGTTGCGCGATAAAAAGGTGATTAGGGAAGCTTATAGACGGCTAAGTTTTGACAATGGCAAATAACGAAGAATTTTTTGGTGCGTTCTAACCTCAAGAAGATAAATACAAAGTTGTGGACGTTTGGACGTGTTGATATAATTGATGTAGGAAATGTATACTGAGTTTATATAGTTTTTCCCTACAGTTCTCTTAGGGTACTAAAGTGACACCGAGGGAAATTGATCATGGAACAAAATTGGTATATCTTTCACCAAGCTTGCAGATATACATATGCATGTACACACATATAACGCGTTGTCCAAACCGACGGAGTCTCCGTATTTTGTAGTAAAGCGTAAAAAAGTAGTGACAAGTGAGCGAAAGAGAATTTCGGATCTCAACAGAACGAAATAAACTCGTTTTATAATCAAAATTTATATGTTTCAAAGTCTGCTTGCTCACCAAGTACAGTCGCTGGCGCAAAACAACAAAGGTTTTGTAAAAATGAAAACGTATGTCAAAAAGCGAACGCAACAACAAAAACAATAGCAGCGTAAAAAGCTCTCGTTTCGCTCACTTTTGCGAAAGAGACACAAAAGCATGTTCAAAAGCGAGCAATGCAAAGTGAATAGAGAAACAAGAAGCAAAAAAAAAAAACTTGAAACATGCCGGCCGGTTTTCATTGACGTGTCGTACTACCAAATGAGTTACTATTTCTATAGTAATTGTGGTAGTCGTGTTAGTAGCCGTAGCAGCAGCAGCAATAGCAGCAGTTTGTATGTATGTGGCAGAATCAAGTGCACTGCGTACAGAACCGATTGTATATGGGCAAGGATACGGGGGGTAGTCGCATGATTCAAATATTTCACAATTTTGCAGAAATTACGAGAGTATCTGCTGAGCGACCGAACAAGAATTTCACAACAGAATGAAAGTACCTAGTATATAAGTATATATATAAATTTTTATTATATAAATATAAACATATTTACATATGTATTGATATACAAATATAAAACCGATAGAGGTAATGTGTTTGTACATACATATATGTATCACTTTCGCTAGACCCCCCCGCCAATATCACTGCCTATCCAGGTGATTAAAACAACGTAAAGATGACTACTCTAGTGGAATTGTCGTGTGTAGACGACCACAACTGTACGAGTATACTATGTATGAATCGTTCTAAGCACTTTTAAAATTAAATTTATGCGCCTTTCAAGCATTTGGTAGAAATTCCTATAGAAGATATAAGAGCACAAAGTACATAGGTAGCATAGGAGTACAAATATCAGGAACCTGTGAAACAAAATGTCACTCACTGAGCGCCTAGTTGCTGGTGCCTCTCAAAATAAAGGGAACAGAGATTCCGCTTAATATTAGAAAGAGAGACGAAGCCACTGATAGCTCAAAACAGGCAAGAGAAACTAAAGCAGTAATGAGCAACATGCGCAGTGTTGATATTTTACTACTACTATACTACATCTGCTACACTTTTAAGTACGGAGAAATTTAGTACTATTTTATAAGGCATTCACTACAATTTGCTATTTTCGAGCTTTTCAAAAATGAAAGAAGGAAATATAACGAGACAACGACAGTTTGATGTCGACAGCTTTTTTTTGGAGTGCGCTTGACAGCAAAATACATTATGTACTGAGGTCATGAGTGAAATTTTGTTAACAATTACTATGTAAGTTTAATCTGGGTCGGTTCATATATTGTTTTAAAGGGTGATCCATTTCGAGACTCTCAACTTTTGCAAAGAAATATCCCAAAAGCTTCAAATTTAATGGAGAATCATTATTATCATCCTCAAGAACATTCTTTGGAATTTATTTTTTGAAGATTATCTCTTTCAAACGTTGTCCAGGGCTATGTCTCAGATAGTCTATCCGTTGAGTTCAATATTCGATTACTCGTTCGAGCATTTCGACTGGTAACTGGTGAATGACAAGCGTGATGTTTTGCGTCAAGTCCTGAATCGAAGCGGGATTGTCCGCATAAAATTTAGAATTTACATATCCCCACAGGAAAAAGACAATACCGCTTCGATTCAGGTCTTGGCGCAAAACATCACGCTTGTCATTCACCAGTTACCAGTCGAAATGCTCGAACGACTTATCGAAAATTGATAACGGATAGACCATCTGAGACGTAGTCGTGGCCAACATTTGAAAGAGAATTTTCAAAAAATTAATGCCAAATAAGGTGCTTTCAAATGATAATAAATATTTCTAATCAAATTCGAAGTTTCTGTGTTTTTCCCATTAAAGGGGTATTCTGGTTTAGAAATTCGAAAAAATCTATCGAAAATAACTCCGTTATCAAACTGTATGACTATTCTTAGAATATGCATATAATATTATCTTCCTATTTTAGTTTTAGTTATTTGCTTTATTTTCCAAGAAAAATTTGTCTACCTACCCCCCCTCCTACCACGGCCGTTCAATATGACCAGTGGGCAAAAAAATTATACCGTTACCTCAGAGTAAAGTCTTTTATAATTACTCAGTGTGGGTTTTAATGGCAAGGACTTGACAATAAGTTGTATTGATTACTGCGTCAAGTAGAGCACTTCTAAAGAGTTTATTTTGCATTTTTTTACAACTGACGGAGATAAGGTAAATAAGGTATATCAATGTTGATGAACAGTTGTTTCCGTCGAAGACTAGGTGCATATTTACCCAATATATGCCAAACAAACCAGACAAATTTGGAATAAAGTTCTGGTTAGCGTGTGACGTCAATAGTAAGTACATAATAAATGGGTTTCCCTATTTGGGAAAGGATAAAAGGAGAGACCGTTCAATGCCCCTTAGAGAGTTCGTTGTCCTAAAGCTAATGGATTCATTTACAGGATTACGCGGAAGAAACGTAACAACGGATAATTTTTTCACGAGTATTTCATTAGCCAAGAAATTACTTAAAAAAAATTACAATTCGTGGGAACAAGGGAGAGTTCCCGAAGTTAGTCAAAGTAAGAAAAGATAAAATGGCTAGATTTTCAAGCAAATTATATAAATCAAATTACATTACTTTAACAGTGTATAAAAGTAAGCCCAAAAAAAAACAAAGTTATTATTAGACTATTAGATTTTAGAATCGTACAAAATTTAGTGTAGATGTGGCGGACCAGATGGGAAAAAAATACGGCGTGAAGTTGAAAAGTCGTAGGTGGCCACCTGGAATAAATGCTTGGATTTTGTACAGAGAAACAACGGGTGAAAATATTTCGAGGCAAGAATTTTTGTTCCAGTTAGCTTCAGAACTCGGAGATGCATATATAGCTTGTCAAATCAAATTTTGTAAAGGTTATAAAACAACATGCAACAAATA